CTTTAAAAACTTTATATGTTATAAGCTAACTATAACTATTGTTTGTGTATTAATTTTTTTATCCCATGCTAATTTTTTATTGTGTATCTTTTATTTCTAAAAATAATTTGATGTTTCTCTAACATTGTAAAATTATATTCATCATTAAAACCGTTGCTTATTTAGTATTGATTATTTGCTTCATTATATCGCGCTATATTTTATTTTAATAAAGTCAATGTGAAATACATTCATTATAATAAATTAAATTTCTTAGTTATATACATATATTGCATTTATTAACAATGTTTTTAAAAATAAACTGCAATTTTATCCCTTTCTATTTATTCTCAAAATGAAATACTCACGATATTACGAAAGTAGTATAAACAAGTTAAGGGAAAGGGGAAAATTCCATGGGAAATATTTTTCCATTTCACGTCTAATCAAATACCTCACGCATCTTGAGATCATTTATTCGACCGTTCTAGAAAGAATTTAGGGTGCCGTTCACGTTTGCTTTTCGTTAACCCAAATCCCATAACGTTTGTGAGAGAAAATGCTTGTTACATGCGTGCCAGGAAAAAATGTCAGGCTAGTCCCTGTCCACCAGCCGGCAGCATGTAATGGATTAACCTATTTTTATGTAATGCGTCATGACGCGTCACGCATGTCATATTTGCATATCATATATGTCACCACGAGTTTGCCGTAGATACGGGACTGTAATCAATCAAATCGCGTAGGTCTCCCGGGTTTTCCCTGAACGACGTATGGATGATTCGATTTAAAAACGAATCACGTTGAAACGTGTCGAAGGCAATTCTTGAATTTTTTTTGGTCGGTTTTGTCCGTCAGAATTCGCGTGATGTCGAAAACTTTTGTTCAACTAATTCTAATGGCGACACATGTTGCATAATTTTTTATTAAAATACTATATTCTTAATAAGGGGATAATATTTAAAAGAACTTATTGAAAATTAATATACCTATAATAAAATTGAACGTGCAATACATTTCCGTGTACCGCATTGCCGTGTACCGTGTAATACCATACTCTACAATTTATGGAAAATAATTTTCTTTTTACGTTAGAAGAAAATAAATGATGAAAAAAATAAGTCAGAAAAACACTGATCAGTAGCTAATTTAACACGCAGAAGTATATACTGAATATAATACTCATTGTTTTTAAATTTCAAATAAAATGCATGCACGTGTGATAGAGAAATATATACAGAGAAAGAGTCATTAAATTAACGACAGCTAGCATTGTTAATCGAATTTGTTACAATCGATCAGGTGCAGCGTCGCTACTGCTGCATGCTTCAATATTTCACGACAGATTTTTTTTTACGACTTTATATTATTTCGCGGGCGAGAAAGAAGGATGGACTTCAATAATTAGCAGAATTTAAAAGCAACCTCATTTCGTTCCCTGGAACTACTCACTAGGCAATTATCGGCAAATGAAATCGTGCGATTGGTTAATTTAAAAGCTCTTCGCTTCGATTTTTTTTTCTGCTTATATTCAGCAGACGATTCAGCAGATGAAATTTCTGTAACGGATGTTCGCCGTAATAATAATTTCATTGTAAGTTCCACCAGTTATGTTCGTCCAAGCATACTTTATACACACACACACACACACATATATATAGGTGTATATGTTTCATATTACATCAATTATTAGAAGATATATAATTAACCGCTACAATCTACATTTCTGCATATCAAAATCCACAAATCATTAATAAACATTCATTGTAGATTCTCAATTAACGCGCCCCTTTCGCCTATCTTTATATTCATTTGCATTTCTCTTGTCGCAATTTGCAATTTTATAATAATTCTTCTTTGTTCTTCGCTGCAATATTTTTATTATAAAGTAAACAAAAAAAATATTTCAAAAACTTTATCATATAAATAAATAACGCGTTGCTTTGTCCATTGCAAGACAATATGTTGAATAATTGTTACGCTATATGAATTGCAGTTAGGTAACAAAAGCAACTAGAAAGCTCTCTGCTAAATTTATTATATTAACTCATTTTGTTATACACATGACTAGGTTCTGTGCTTCTTATCTTTGATGTTTTTTTATTTCTTTTGATCACGTTTGTATGTGTGCTGAAAATCTTCAAAAGATATTGTAGTGCTCACCAGCGGAAATATCTTATGCGCTATACACTGATAATAATTCAGAAATTTATCACGTGCATGAAAATGTAACCACGAACAACAGGAAATGCGATGGCACCACGCGCAATCCACGTGGCATCTCGTTCTCCTCCAGCGGGAACTGTATATTTTCCGGTGAAGCGGTACTTCATACGGCGCGGAGTACACTTTCTATTGTTCTGTTCGCCCCCGCGTAATCTGTTTCTCGAAAGACCGGTAGTAATGTCGGTACGTAATGCGGCTCTTTTGTATGCAACACGCGGTTGCCACTGTCGCGTCGCGCGAGCGATATTTTCCGGAATTTCCCAGCAAAAGCGCGCCCGCGAGAACTCACGCTCTGGCCGCACCAGCCGCGAGAGAGCTAGCTATATTATATATGCAATAATTCGCATTCCGACCACGAAACAACGTGACGGTGTCCAGTCAGTTTTCATTCACCGCGATAACGCCGCGATTATTATCGCACGTCGCAGAAACTAGAAAAGTCAACGAGTACTTTAAAAAATCGGGTGATATGTTCACGATATTGTGTGCTCCCAAGTTCTCGCCGTTCCTCTTTTATCTGTTCCTTTTTTGCCGCTTTGCATTTCCGAGTTAGATAGCCTTTGCACAGTTGCAAAGTTGATAAAAATTAAAACTGTTGAAACATTTATAATATTTTTATAGATATTTAAAAAATTCCTTGCAAATTAAACTTAT